ATATTGTTTTTGTGTTCCCAGAGGCGGTCGTAGATGGCTTGGACAGGGCACCTCTTCACTGATTACCAAATAGAAAAGACTTCCAACAAATCTCCCCTCAAACAAGGAACTATCTCGAACCGTTAGTCTTTCAGTGATTGCATTTCTATAAATAAACGTGAGGACGCAGGCTTCCCTCGGCAGAAGGAGAACCAGGTCGGGGTGTAGTCTTTACTTAATGTACCGGGGGCTGGCAATCTTCTTTCTTGAGATTTGGCAAGGAGATGTTCTCAAGGAGAGAGAGAGAGACAGAGACAGAGAGAGACAGAGGCACCGGAGGGGAGGGGGAAGGGAGGACCGAAGGCCTGTCCTTCTCATCTCCGCAGGTGGCGCTGAAGTCGTATCAATAGTTGTTGTTTTTTCAAACAAGATACTCCAACCAAGATATTCCACTCAGATCCTACATTGTTGTTCAACAAAGGTTAACAGCGTTGCTACACCTGTCCTCCACCAACGTTCTACTACACGTACTGCGTGTAGGGCGCCCGCTCAAATCTTCGACGCGAAATAAATGCGGCGAAGTGGCTATCCCAAATGTCCTGAAGGGTTGAATGGGGCGTACGCTATGATGGGAGAAGCTGGCGCACCGCGGGGAAGTTTCCTGGCTGGGAAGAGCGGACGCAAAGGGAGCCGGCGAGAAAAACCCACGGGTCGGTACCGCCCAGAGTGCCACTTGTACGGCAGAGACGCGGTGGTCGTAGCGATGCTTTCGGGAGAACACATGGCTTTGGGTTGAAGCGAAAGCGGCAAACACGGGCGGGAAGGGAGAGGGAATGCCCGAGAGGGTCAAATCTGCACCGGATATGGCGTGATTCTGCGATCCTCTACAGATGTATGCTGCTGTCCAGGTACGAGGCCGCTTTGGAAGATAGGAAGAGTCAGCAACAGGTTGTAAAAAACTTCTGCCAGGTACAGATCATTGATAAGGGACTTGCGGCGGTGCGGCGTAACACCCAAGCTGTTTCGTGTGGTGTTTGGTGCAGCTATGTACACGCAGCGACACTGTAGTGTTTCGCACAGCACACCACAAACCACGACTGCACCGCGACGGTCGGTAGGGTTGTAGGGTTGTTGATGGTTGATGGTTGGTCGTGAGTGAACCTGGTTCCATTTTTTGTTTTGGTTCGCGTGCCGCTCAAGGTTACGGTTCACGGTTCACCCTCGCTACATACAGTCTACCAGATGTATATATTTTTTTTTTCTTAATATGACACAACGAACCCATCTCTATCATAGAAAAGAGTCTGAGACAGATTAGCAATGAATTCATAGCGTCAGAAAGTACCTGTTCAATCGCCCAATCCATCCCCATCTGTTGACTCGGTTGACAGTATGTCGTGCCCATCTGTTGACTGTTTCATATCTGACATGATGGGTATCTGGATACTCTCCGCGCGCTGTACATAGTGTAGATACGTGCCTTACCCACTCACGGATCCCAACACACACACACACACAACACCGCAACGGCCGGCGACAAAGCACTCAAGCTCTGTTTTGAGCGGTTTGCGACGGGGCCGCGGAATAAACCAAGGGGTCAGGCGTTCTGTCTGGTTGCGAGTTGCACACGCTACACCCATAAAGCCTGGGGAACCATGTGCGTCCAGGGCTGTCATACCTTCATTTGGGGAGGCACAGGTACACCCGTGACGAGCGACGACGGTACTTCTTGTTCCTGCATCTGCGAAGACGATAGCTGGGCCGACCACAATATCCTGGGGAGCGACTCGTGTGTTCCGATCAAGGCCCATGTGATTTTCGGCTCGGTTGGAATCGTCCTCTCCGTGGCGGTCCTATTCCAGGCACTTTACCAGCTGAATCTCCAGGTCAGCACCCCCCAGAGCGCCTACCCAAACGCTACACATGAGCTACGAAAAAAGCAGGCAGAAAACGCTTCCCAGGGCATGCAGCTGGCGTCGAGTTTCAGCAGCCGTAACAGTGGCTGACACGGATTGCTGTATTGTCGACAAATAATTTTGGGTATGCTCTCCATCCAAAAGCCATAATTCTATAGCCTCATCTGTCTGTGGGTGGATGAGAGTCCAAGATAAAAAAACACTGATATCATGTATCGTAACACACAGGCAGGAAGAGTATAAAGCAAAGAAGGGGGCGACGTGAACACCCGCAAAAATAACAAAGCAACTAAGGTGAACGAGGGCAGCCAAAATACATACACGAAAACAGTATTAAGTATACAAGACGGGGCTTAGCCAGCGAGCTTGTCAGTCTCGCCGCCACTCGACGGCGACGAAACAGAGCGGGCGAGAGGAAGGCGACACGGACGTCGCAAAATCTCCGCGTCTGTCTGCCGCTCGCTTTCTTCGAGATACAAAGGAACCTATTAGTGAAGCGCTGGCCCTCTCTTCACGCTTCCTGGTTCTTGCTCTTTTGGTTGGCACGATTTTTTCGCATGTATATGTCTTCTGCGCTGTCTCCCTGGCACGATTTGCCCGAATGGCTGCTGCCCACATGGCTGCCGCGCTTCCCTTTCCAAAGGAGGAAGAGGGACTTATCTGGGCGAGGATTTTGGCGGGTCGTTTTTGCCGACACGAAAACCCCTCTCTCTTGGTGTTCATCTTTTTGGGCGGCATTGATGCAAGCAAAGCGAACACTATGACAAGAATTGCGATCGCAACACCCCTGATACACATCTGCCGACCAGCGTGTGCGATCGACTGTGGTGGCCGCAATGAATGGTGAGGATAAGGTGATCGTTCGTGGAACATATCGCATGTGGATGCAACGGGCTGGTGGAAATAACCCAAATAAATGTCTGTCATGGCTAAATCTCCTACGAAAATTCGCTACGGATTCTTCGAACACGCAAATTCGTCATGCACGCGTGTGGTGCTGAGTGAATGTTGTCGCCTGCTGCTACTGATTGTCTTGTTTGGTTATACACGAACTGCCCCCGATATGTTTTGTACTGCTGCTGTTGATACTACTGTAGTACTGTGTGTATCCATTTCCGAAACACAAAGAAAGGTGAACCGACCAAACCGCTGTGTGCTGCGGCACCTACCTCCTGCTGGTGGTGCGATTGACTGATTCGATGCAGAGAGGGTCGCCGCATGACCTCCCGTACTTGGTTGCATCGACTGCTGCTGCTGTGCTTGGTGGTGTTGCTTGTTTGTGGCTGCCTTCCGTGGCCTTTTACTTGGCAGTGTGCAGCTCCTCTCTCTGTGAACGCGCTCGCTCTTTCCGCTTCCCAAAATTTCAATTTTCCACCGCTGCGGAGTCTTCGAAGAAAGTGTTGGAAGGCATATATACTCATGCATACACCGCATGCGTCATATACATGCGTCGATGTGACGAGGGTCTGTGGCTGGTGCGATGGAGAGAGGGTCGCCGCATGGCCTACTATGTACTTCTGCTGCTGCTGTGCTAGTCGTTGTTGTAATTCGGGTAGTGAGTGCCGCGGACTTTGACATTCTAAATGCATAATATACGCATATAGTGTATGTGGTAAGTGACAAAGGCAGCAGCTTTCTCCGATAGTGAAACTGCAGCTCTCGAAGGGGCTGCTGCTGCTGCAGCTCAGGGAAACAACGTTCGCTGAGAACTACACTACTAGTAGAGCTGAAAATATGTGTGTAAGCGCTGCGACTGCCGTGCCACCGCTCCTGCGGAGTGCACTCTTACAACTAGCCGGGGCTCGGACTGCTCTCCTACTACTGCAGCTGGCTGTGGCTCCCCAACCACCTGCGGATTCTTCGGAACTTCTTTTGGCGAACTTCTGAATGTCAATACCGAAAGTACAGCCAACGGAGGTGCTACAGCCTTCTCTGCTCCTGCTGCTGCTAGAATTCCTGGTTTTTCCAAGCACGGGACGAAGACCTGACCGGTGTCCACGAGACTTTGGGAGCAAGCGTATGGTCTATCTGCCTACTTATCGGACCCGAGCACAGGCTTCTAGCGTTCGTCTACACAATTTTGGCAAGGGTCTGTTTCCCCCCAAACACTTTTTTCCAGCTGTGCCGGGCAAGCCAGATGTGTTCCCGCGGATTCTTCGAATGGAAGAAAAGCTGCGGGTTCTTCGAACCATACACGAAAGTACAGCTCTCAAACAAAGGTTATAGGTGCTACGGGCTGCTCTGCTCCTGCCGCCGCTGTTGGATTCGTGTTTTGTCCAAGCGCGGAACGGGGACATGACTGTTGTCCACGAAACTTCGGGAGCAGGCGTATGATCTGCTTGCCTACTGATCGGACCCGGGCAGAGGTCTCTAGCCTTGGTCTTCGCCGAAGAAGGTCTCCCTACATTTGTTTTGCAAGGGTTTGCTTGCACACCCGACCCGGGTGTGCGGCGATCCGCGACTTGGTTTCAGACAGAGAAATCGAGAGATCAGAGATCAAGGGGCTCCGAAAAAGTTGCTTCGGGAGATTGCGTAGATAGTTGCATCAGGTTTCTTTTGCCGTTTTGATTTTTGCGCAGCAGAACCTAAAGTCTTACAGAGCCGAGAAAATGTTTCTGAACAACAATCTGGCGGATATTTTCCTGCACAGGTGTGTACAGGTAACAATACCGGATGCGACGGGAAGAAACAAAGACCTACTATTTTCCCTACGCACGCCAACCAAGCTCCCACCTCTATAGTTGGGGGATAGCTCTCCACCGGTTACCAATGTTCCAACAAGTGGATCCCGCCTTTCTCTTTCCCATTGTTATGACATTGTGCCTTTGGTTTGCGCAGGCACTCTACAGAATTAACAACCGTTGTAAAGAGGGCCCACAACCAATGATTGCCTATCGAGAAATTCTTCCTTACGCGACCCTCTCCCCTTCCCTCCTTTTCGCTCCTGTCATGCCAAACTGCGGCAAACACGTGTGATACGACAACGGCGACGACAACGACAACGGCGACGGCGATGACGACGCTACCGTCAATGTCCACCAGCTGAAATTTCACGCCCAGCAGTTTTCGGTATCAACCACGTCCGCGGAGTGCTGCCGCAAGAGCATGCACGTCACGGCGGTTGCCAACGCCGTCGTCAGCCTCTTCTACTTCTTGCTGGTGCTCCTAGTCAAGGCCCGTTGGCACGAGATTTCCGTCCTGGTTGTGATTCTCAACCAAATAACCGTCAGTGTGTGCGGGTTTTTGACCGTCAGAATGTGGATCTACACCAACGACGCCCGGCTGATGCAGGCTAGCTCCACCATGCTCAGGATCTCCTCGGTGCTGGAAGAGAAAAACGGACAGCGGTTGTCATACCTGGTGCTCTCGACAGGACCGGTCGTCGCGACGGTGCTCGCCTTGCTCGGCCGCACGGAGGTACACGAACAGCGTTGACTTTGGGTGAAGCACCGGCACGTTGGCCGAGTGCGCGATGGTAGTTTCTCCCTACTCTAGAGACACCAACTTGGGCCCTCTGATTATGCCCAAAGTACTGGTGTACGTCTAATTGGCATGGCACCGAAGGGAATCCCTTGTCAACTAGGATGTGCGCACTACTACTGCACCTACGTTGAGTCCGTCATTCGTTTGGCTCCTTTGAGCCTAATCCTTGCCCTCTGTGGTGGCGACTCTCCCTGATCGCCACAAACACTTGTAGTAGCCAGCAGCGGCAGCTGCAGCGCATCTTACAAACACCGCGTACGTACGAATTTTGGTGTTGTGTCTCGTCTGCTACTACACTACACACAGGCGGCCGCTAAGCTCGTGGCTGTGACGTTCATCATGCTGATTGTCTTCACCGACACAACCTTCTGGATTTTCGGGAGAGCTTTGCTTCGGGCGATCGACGCTTCTCTCCAAAACTCGCGAATGAGGGCGATGAAGTCCGTGTTTGAAGAGGACAGGAGGGAGTCTGTGCTTGCGACCCTGGGTGGTACGGAGGCGGACGAGGAACGCGGGAGGCGTGGGAGCGGTGAATCAGCAGGGGAAAGAGGGGAAAGAGGTAGTTCGTCGAGGACCTGGTCATCCGTGGGGCCTCGGAGAAGAGGATCGTGGTGGGGTGGTGAGGGAAGGGACGAGTCGGAGTTAGGGGACGGCGAACTCCAGGCGGCCAAGAGAAAGGTTCGGTGGGCCATGGGGTTTTGCGCCCACATGAGCCTTCAGGGGTACGCCATCCTCCTGTTCAGCATATTCAGCAAGTACGGCACATCCATGCCATTGATTCTGTTTGGTGTGCAGATGACTATTGTACCGCTGGTCTGGCACGCCTTCAACATACAGCTGCACGCGGGGCGGAGCCGGGGGTCGGCGATCGGAAGGCGGTCGTCGGGGGTAGACCGGGGAGGGAGGCGTTACGTTGTACCAGCCGTCGGAACCGGTATAGGTAATAACGTGGGGCAGGTGAACACCACCTCGCAGCAGGGGCAGCAGCAGCAGCAACAGAAACACCAAAAGTGTATTGGAGGAGTCGGCAAGTGGAGAAAGTACGGGCCAGTGCTCCGGGGGCGTGCCGTGGCCCCGACTGAGACGGACGAGGCGGCAGCAGCCATGGACGCGGTCACCGGCGAGACGAACACGAATGCGCGTACGGGAACAACTCACCCTGCTGACGGATCCATGAGTTAATCAGTGTCAGCTCCACCTTGTCGAGGCGTTTAGCTTCAGTCACCGATGGACCGAGGTTTGGTACGTCAACCGGTAAAAATCATAGATGAGCGCGCTAATTCTCTACTTTCCCACCGTCGGGGGGACGAAGAACCCGAGAATCTTCGCCGTTGAATCTTGTGGACGCCTATTCCTCAATATGTAGGTGTTTCAGACCGGGTTGCTTGTCCATGCCCGAATGTTCCTGCGTCGGATGGCTTTTCAGGAGCGCTGTAAGGGGGTGCAAGCGAACTTACGTTGGGTAGCTGCTCCAAATACCAGGATTCAGCTCGGGGGTCCAGCCTGATTCAGATCAATGAGAACCAACAGGCTCTAGTTTCATTTTCAGCAGGTTGTCTGAACGTTCAACGGCCAGGTGTTTGTGCCTGAATGCCAAACAACCTTAACTAGGAGAATAACCAATAACCTCGGTTCCTATGGGAAACTTGTCCTTACAGATTCGCCAAAAACGGCACAAAAAGTTTGCCGGCATCATGTGGAAGGCGTGTTCTATGGGTGAGATCGTACATGCGTTGCTTGACTCAGCGTCGACTGCTGTGTGCGGTGTCAACCGCCTGCCGTTGAGAAGGCGGCACTCTTTCGTGGATGTGTGTGTGTACCAAGCGAAGCAAATGACAAGATGTGCAAGCGTCGATGTATCAAGGGGTGAGATGAATGGGGAGCACCAGAGAAGCATTTTCATGAAAAATCACGAAATTAGGCACCGTTGCGGCGCACGCCGCACCCTACAAGAAGGGGCTGATTCTACGAGCGGGCGTTTGGAAAGGTTCAACCGACGAGTTAAAAAAAAGAGAAAATTTCTTCGGACACACAGAATAAACTGGGTTTTTTGGTGTAAAGGTCGAACCGTAGCCTCGTTATTTGTCGGAAACCCGGGGTCCTGTGTGGAAGAAATGATAGCCCTCTTTTGCCATTCCGTGGATGGGGGCACGATGTCGCTGTAGCATTTTGCGTAGCGAGCGGAAGCTCCAGACCACGCTAAAAGACGGAAAGACATCAGCGGCAGCCCAGCGAAGGCGGCGGCAGAGTACCAAAAGTCCCGCCTTCCCATCCCTTTTCTTTCGAAGGTGGGGCGGGGGGTCTTGGATCATTCGGTCTCTAGTCGGGGTTCTATAATAGATGGTGTGTAGCAGTACCATTGGGGGACCCGGTCAGCTTCGGAACTCCTGCGTTCGCAGTCATAGTCCCCCAGCCGGTACTCACTTTTGTGGGGATAGAGACGGGTTTGCAAGACTTTACGCTGTGCCACGCAGTCACTGTGGCTGGCGAATCGACTCGCGTTCCGTGTGTCTTTCTACCCAACGCATGCCCTCGAAACAAAGTAAATATGGTCACAATTCGAAAGAAAAATAACCAACAAAGGGGGTGCTTTGGTCGAGGTCGGTTCCACGTAGTCCCAGAAACAATTATCGTCATTGTTCTTAGCTTTTGAGGTAGATGGAGGGAGAAGGGGGGTCAACCGCCGTGTAGAGTGGCCAACGGAATGCGGCAGGCCTTGAATTGTTTTCGGCTACTCTTACGCCTCCCGGATTGATCCGATTCCACACATAAATAGCTACGCAATGCGGTAAGATGCGACTGATGTGGTGTCCACGTGGTGCGTTATCTTGAGCTGCGTGTCCGATCAAATCTCGAGAGCTCGCCCACAAGGCACAATGGGGATATCGAGCTGAAAAACGCCACCATATCTCGCTGATACGGGGTTCGAACCTTTTTCATCGCCCCCATCCTTCTCTGCCTACATTATGTCACCGTCTCTTGCGCAAGCGGCTCGGCCCGGTCACCCTCCCCCCCTCGAAACAGCCATCTAGAACATTCATCATCCAACTCCCGATTCGAAACATCAGTCAGTCCGCTTCTCCTTCGAGATCGCCACGTCCCCAGCCAGGATGTGGCTTGCCACTTCCCCCACCGGAAGTTCTTTCTGGTCCGACGTACGGAGGTCCTTCACCGACACCTTGACGAACACAAAGATGTTGGCATCGAGACGTGAGGCCGGGCGGGGCGGTTGCGGCGTGACGGCGTTAAGCCACAGGGAGCGGACAAGGACAGAACACTGCTGGTATTTACGTGCTTCGTGGGAGACGCAGGAGACGGGTATCATCAGGACCCAGAGAAGGGCAAGGCGAAGGAAGCGCGGCGGCACGGTGCAGTACACATAATATCAGAGCTAAGAACATCATTTGCGACCACACCTACACTAACACCTATATAGCGGCCAATTGTAACCCACAAGAGGAACTATTGTAAGAACCCAAGCCTCGGCTAACACTGCACCTTCTGAGGTGTGGGCACCATCTGTATACGCACACGGAAGAACGGTAGGCACGGGCGCGAGGACACCGACGTGCCCTGAACTTAAAAATCACAAACGCCAACAGCTGCCTTCCACCACACCCACCTAACACAAACAGTAACATACACTAACGACTACGGCATGCAAGGCTACGAGTACACCACCCGCACCTTGCCGGCTTCCCACTCTGACGGAGCCACCATGACGACGTAGGTCGCCCCCACTCGGGTGGCGTGCTTGAAGTTGGCCTTGGTCTTGCGGGGCTGCAGCACCAGGTCTACGGAGATGCCCTCGCGCCTCAAGGAGGCCGCCACCTCCGTCGCCGCTCCCTTTACCAATCAAGCAAATAACAAAACGCTTGGTTGTGGATAAAAGCAGATATAATAGTGACTATGTACGTACCATGGTCTGTGCGCCGTGGGGAGGCCGTAAATGCCCCTTCAACGGTTTGTGGTGACTATTATTGGTCCGGATCGAGAGATAAACATCAGCAGGGGAAACCCCACCTACGGATAGAGGCCCGTCTCTGGAGGCTGTGTAGAGAGACAGAGGCGGGGAAAGAGGGTCGGAGGGAGGGAGGGAGGGAGGGAGGGAAACAAAAAAAAACATCACCTCCGCCACACGAATTTCTGCCACCGACACTCGCCCCCTGCCTTTGGAGGAGCCCTCACCAACGGCGTTCTCTCGGCGTTACTACTGTGGGAACAGCGGGGGAGAAGTCTTCTTTTTCGTTCACGAGATGAGACACACCCGCAAACACCCTCACCTGAAGCTCATCGTCCCACCCGAAGACGACCGCGGTGGCCCCGGGCCCCGCCTCTTTGGGCAGCAGCCCCCTGTCCGACAGGAGTTCCACTATTACGGCGTCGCCGAACCCGAAGCCCGCCGCCGGCAACGCCTCGCCGCTGCGAGGAAAAACACAGAAAATACAACAGCAACCATTCCACACACATTCAGTGCAGAATCTTCTTGCGTTTCTATCTCAGTGAAGTGTGGGCGTTTGTCAATGGCCAGCAGCGGGGCGCCTTGTGCGGCCGAAACAACCAGCCAAGAGGGAACGCGCGACAAGGCGCGTTCCACGAGGCGACCAAGTTGCGGGTGTCAGAAAGAAACCACGATTAAGAGGCCGCTGAAACAGACGCACCCAAAGCAAAACAAACATGCAGCCCGCAACCAACATGCAACCAGATGGAGAGCTCTCATCGCGATCGATCTACCAAAGGGATGCTTGAAAAACTCAAACGATGCGGGCACGTCGAGCCGTTTCAGCTAACCGTGTCGACGGGACTGGAGAAGCCCGTCGCCGGCCAAGGATGGCTTGCCGTTGAACAACCAGGGCTGGAAAAAGTTCCCCACAACAAGCTACACGTATCACAAGGGCCGCAAGCCATCGCCACGCCGTCGGCGCATCCTTGGCCTTCTGCCGGCCTCCTGGGCTTGACTGCTGCGCAAGAGTACGTCTACATGCGTTCGAAAACAAAAAATTATCTAACGCGTCGGTAAACTCGGTCGCGAGGGGAGGATTGGCCGTGTACTTCTTTGCAAGTCTCGAGTCGTTCTGCTACAGGGAAGGAGGGTGAGGGTATGTACCACGTGGGGGCCTGTTTTGCTGCTGCTGCTGCTGTTGCTATGTGTCTTGTTTCGTACCCGAAAGACTCTAGTAGGGCGTCGTAGCGACCCCCCCCCGCGATGGCCCTCAGCTTCCCCCGCCGGTCGAACGCCTCGAAAACCGTCCCGGTGTAGTACGCCAGGCCTCTCACCACCGAGCAGTCCAGCACCAGCCAGTCGGAGATCCCGTAGCTCTCGGCCAGCGCGAAAAGCTTCCGGAGCTGATTTTTTCGATATTAATCAGCGTTTCGTTTGGTTTTTTGGGCGGGGTTGGGGTTATTGCGTCGGATTCTATGAGGTTTTCGTTTCAGAGCTTCCGTAGCTGTCTTTTTTCCCGTATTTGGCGGTTTTCGATTTGGGGGGTTGGTTTGTGTTGTGAAACTTTGGCGGGGTGTGCAGGGTTGGGTTTTGATCATGCGTTGGCCTGGTGATAAAAAAAAAGGCTACACTCCGGTACAATACGAAGCGGCACTTTCGCGCATCGGTTGGCTGCGACCGATTGACTCCGTGCCTATGGAATAGCACAGCAAGCTTGCGCCTCTCTCTCCCTACATTTCCCCGGGGATGAGAGAGGTTCACTCAATTCCTAACATGCTCACAACCAAACAAACTACAAATTAAAATTACCCCGTGTTTTTTTTTTTTCTCCCATCATTGGATTCTGTCGTCTGCCCCTCTGGCCCCTATCCTCCACTTCTACTAGCTAGACGACCCAACCGGGGTCACATAGGAGGGGGGGGTTGGACCCCCTCCTGCGGTTCCTGCCTGAGATATTTTTATATGTAGGAGCACGAACATTGTGATGCGATCGGGATACTTGTACCGCGTACGTACGAGCAGGACAATCGTGGTGTGATCGGGTACACTTGCACCGCAAACACATGAGCACGAAAATTGTGATGTTACTGGGATGCTTGTACGCCCGGCCGGTGTTGCCGAAAAAGGGTACCGCTTCATGAACCATGCGACCAAACTCAGGCAAAGAAGGGAGGGAAAATAGCGGCATCGAACAACAGCATCCCACCTCTTCAGCTGCCGGCGATTCCTTGCCCAGGAACGCCTCCACGCCCCCCATGTCACGGAGTTCCATCACCTCCAGGAGGCGTTTGACGCTCGTCTCTTCCAGCCCGAGCTCGGCCAGGTCACCCGCGACGGCTTCGAGAGGCATCTGCAATCACCAACGACAACAGCAGCAGCAGCAGCAGCAGCAGCCGAAGAAGCAGCCGAAGAAGCAGCCGAAGAAGCAGCAGCGGTTAGGTTCGGACCGCGGCTTCGCGCGTGGGGAGAGAAGGAGTGTCATCGGCACCTCCGACAGCAGCAGCAGCCTACCCAGAGATAAATCGTGGTTATGCTGTGCAGGAACGTGCAAGAGCGAGGAGACGGGGGATCCCAGAGCAACCCGAGCGATGAAAGCCGATCGCGTTTCGCAAAATTCCACGACATTGTTCGAGTTACGTACGCCACCCTTCACTCTTGACACCATCATCACGCACCACTGATCATCGCAGACAAGAAAAAAAAAACGTTTGATAGTCCGTCCGTGAATGATCGTGGACGGCAGGCACGAAAGTCTCTGTCCCGTAATTTCTATGTTGTGCCAAGAATAGGTAGGTACGTCGCACGTGGTTTGTGCACCAGGCTATAATACGGTGCAGGGTGAATACCTCTCCCGAAGGGACAAAATTTACGTTGTTAGCGTTGGAAATTATTGACCAAGAGAGTGCCCGTCCCTATCGTGCTTCGCGGGAGAGGCATGTATCTGTTGGACTCCAGTGACACTCGAAAACAGCAGTGGGGACAATTTTTCATGCGTTTAGTGCTGAAAAACTATTTACCGAGAGAGAGAGAGAGAGAGAGAGAGCGTCATTATGGTGCCGCGCGGGATAGGTGCGCTATCTGTTGGACTCCAGTGACAACAGCAGTGGGGACAAGTCTTCGCGTCTTCTTCTTCTCGCCTTGTCGAGCTTGTCTACCAGCACGCAGGTGGCCGTGTGCTTGTCCCCCGGCACTCCCAGGCTGTGCAGGACTTCCGTGAGCACGCCCCTGCTGTTCACCCTGATCCCCACGTCCTCCGCGCGGAGCCCCACCCTCTCGAAGAACGTCACCATCGCCCCCAGCAGTTCCGCCTCCGCCGCCACCCCGGACACCCCCCAGATGTCCATGTTCCACTGGTAGTGCTCCCTTCGCCTGCCCCTCGTCATGCGCTCGTACCTGCCGACATTTTGGGGTCACGGGGCGGCGCTAGTTTAAATCAACCCCAACCCCCCCCCCCTGGCAGAAGTTGCCGCCCGGCAGAACATTTGGGCTCATGAGGCAGCGCTAGTTAATATAAAAATATACCCTGAAGCTCCTTCCCCCCTCCCCGCAGTAGTTGGTTGTGTACGAGCGTGGTCCGGTGAGAAACTCCGGCCTGGCTTTGTAGGGATGCGAGGTCAATGGCCTAACGACTACGGCATGCGCAGCTATGAGTACACCCGCCCGCACAAAACCACGTCGGCATTGTACTACATCTGGTGAAGTGTGGCCGCATCCTCCCGCTTGCCCCCCTGGCCATATCTTGGCGTTGACAGGGAGTCGCTGAGGCAGCACTGCTGTGTATGGCAAGGGTTTTCTGGTATGTGAGCTTTGATCGATTTTCAAGACCTGCCTGCAACGCGTCTTTGAGAGATGGGTGGTCGTCGGGGTGGTGTTGGTTGGTTCGGGCCGGCGGGGGGGGTTGCGGGTCGGGACGCCCCGTGTGCCAAGAAGGCAGCAGCCCCACGAATGAACAAGCTTGTGGCTTCCGTCCGCCAGCGAAGGTCGGCATGAGCTGGCACGTATCCAAGTAATGCCGACTGGTCTGTTGAAGATTGGTCGTTCGATCAGCCCACGAGATCATCTCGCCTGCCTCCCCAACTCTGCCTCCCGATCCATCTCTTCGTTTTCGTTTCAGGCACCTCCTTTTTATCGCCGGCTGTATCGGAACAGCACGCCAGTCGCGCAACATGCAACCTCCCTCGATATGGTCAAATTTCCAAAAGCTACATGTCTCCATTGCAGGATGCGGGGGGATCAGGGCTCGAATCAAGCGGCTTTCATCGAGGGATGTCCAAAGGCACAGCTTGGCATTCCGTGTGAACTGGGCCGTAGAGGTATCGAGTTGGACAATCAGTCGTATAGCATCCCACGTCGCGACCAGGCGGTGCAGCACATGCGTGGTCTCACCTCCAGCACTGAGGAATGCTGAACCACTTGACCGGGAGGGTGAGGCTCTTTCGCTTGGCCATAACCATGCGCGCCAGCGACGGAGTCATCTCCGGCCTCAAGCTCACCTGACGATTGTTACTGTTGTTATTGTTGTTGTTGTTGCTGCGGTTGTTGTTGCCGTCACACTAAAACTTGTCCCCGTCTCTACTCGGCATCTTCTGATATCCTTACTGGTCCAGGCGCCTTCCGTGGTCACGGGCCAACTTACGTAAAACCATCATCACCAACAACATCGAGAGAAGAGGCACAACCATCGGCGCCGAACCACGCCCTAACCGAGAGAGGGATGTGCCGCTACCAAAGCACTTAACACCAGGAGTGTTTTCTGCTTCCCATTATTGTTCCGATCTGTTCTGGGCGCCACCAGTCTACACTTTTCGGGACATGCTGGACACAAACGGCGGGGTCACACGGAAGGAGGAGTGCTCCACCGTTCCCTCCTCCTCCTGCGGTGCTTGCCTCCAACATTTCAGAGGGGTCAACACGTCAAGCCCGTCAATTGATTCGTTCTGCCACAACAGCCTCCCGACTTTTCGTCCTCCACTGTTTGAATACGTTAGACGGATCAACACGTCAAGCCCATCAATTGAGTCATTCTGCCAAAATAAGTATCCCGCTGCCACCGTCCGTGTTCTCACCCGTCTCCCCCCCTTGTCCTCGAAGCAGTAGAGCTGCTGCGTCACCTCCTCGCCAGACTTCCGCGTGTACAGGGACTCGCTCTCCAGCACCGGGGCGTCGTACTCCTCAAACCCGAACGAACTCGCCACGCCTCGCCAGTGCCCGAATAGCCTGAAAATCCAATGCGTGTGAGTTTTTCGAGTATCGACTGCACTAACCGGCTGGCCAGTGAAAATGAGTCAATTTCAGCTCGGCAGTTCGGTTAAAAACAGAAAAATATGGTCGTGTGTCTCAGTGTAAGCTAGGGGGGCGCGACCCCCGCTTCGGCTCTATTGCGTTCGTCGCGCATTTGCTTGCTTAGTTCCTTTTTCGCGGCACAAGGCGCATTTGTGTCTTTTGCGGCCCGGAAACCGTTGACGGCCCTGGCCGTGACGATCTTGGAATTGACTGGGAGTATGCCCTTGGCCTTGGCACGAGTGATTTACGCCAATAGCTGCAGGCGGCTCTGGTGGCCAAGTTGCCCGGTGCTGGCGTCGCTCACGCGGATGTCCGGCGAATTTCGTAGACCAAGGGTTTGGAGCAACTCACACACAGGCTGGCTTGGCGAAAACACACCTACACACACACGCATGCATACACGCGATCACTCGCAGGACAACCCAGGCGAGGCAGGCGGAAAGCGGTCGCAACAACGGTTTCCGGGCCGCAAAAGGCATAAACGCGCGTGCCGCGAAAAAGGAACGAAGTAAATAAATGCGTGACGATCGCAGCGGAGGCGAAGCGCATGTCACGCTTCCGTAGCCGGCTACGTGGGTGATCAACCTCGGGCAGCCCCCGCTTACGGGGTCCATCCGACTGTACGGCGGTGGCTACATCAGTCTGTGGCCGCTTACGGGTGCGGCGGTGTTGCTCAGGCGGTGCTTCTGGGGCTGCGCGTGTTCGTGGATTGTGTCGCGCAGACTTTCGAGCGCGGCGGGTATAGGAAAGTGGGTGGGCCAAAATTCGAGCGAAAGGGCGAGTGGGGCAAGACACCAAGCTTGTTCTCCCTTGTGAGAGTCTACTTTTTTGTTTAATAACATCTTGAAGGGAGTCAAGGCAAACCAACGCGATGCCACGCATCACGAACCGGTCACCCTGCGTCCTGCTGGTTGTCGGGATTGATCACCGGGCCGTGCGTGTCCGTGTTTTGGTCTTGGGCAACCTCACATGTCTCTGTGCAGGGGGGAGGGGTGGGGGTTCACGGCGTACCACTCACAACTCCTTACGAGCGCCCAAATCTTCCAGTACCAAGTCGACACAACGATCCTCCTACCGAGGCTGCGGTCGTCTAACCAACCTTAAAAAACCCTGATAACCAACAAGCTCTAACCGTGCTCACCAATTTCGAAGACGCATGTCCTCAGGGAACACGTCCCTCGTACCCTTGGGCGGCTTAAGGTCTAGCTTTTCCACCGCGGCAGGAGGCCCTCCCCGCGCCGCACCCCCCCGCTTCTCGGCATCCTGCAGTACTGCCGCGCTCGCTCTTCCTCCTCCTCCTCCTTCTGCTGCAGCTCCCAATGCTCCTGCTGCATCAGGCGCGGCCAAAAAAAAAAAAATGTTTTTAGTGCATTTGGTGCGAGGAAGTGATAGCTCTGAGGTAAGACAAAGGTAGGTGAATTTGTTTTTGTGCTGTTGTTGCTTCTATCGGTTGTGTCTTGTGACGATTCATCCATCATTCGGGGGGTCATATCTTGGGATAAGGGTTTGGAGAGGTAGGTGGCAGGTGGCAGAGAAAGGTGCTCGTCCGTTCTTTGCAACCCCCCCCTTGTCTCGGGTACAGTAAACCCATGGTACCTGGCTGAAGCAAGGAGAGACCCACACACTTGAGACGGATTAATTTAGCTTTGGTCGTGCATCAATCAATCTGCTTTGGCAAGGCCGGCGACGTTGAAGAACGGTGAAGTTGGGGCAGAGACTTCGATGGTGGCCGCTGGCTGCCGTGACATGTTTGTGGTAGGAAAGTTCAAGTGTGTAAGGTGGTGAGCAAGATCTCTCAAAAAGGACGGTAGCTTCTATCAGGTCGCCCGGGTGGTCTAGGTGGTATCCTCGAAACCTTCTAGAGGTCAGGTCAGGGGTTCGAACCCCGACGTAAGCGAGCTTTTCTTGCAAAGTGAGTTTTTCTCTCGCTTCCGCTCCTGGTCTAGTGGATAGCGCTAGTTCGTGTGTACACAGAGGGAAGAGAGTGCCGAACTCTTCTCACATTAAAAATCGAAGGCAAAGTACCGCAGGAGGGGAGGGTAGAGAGGGGCTCTTCTGTGTGACCACGGGTTGGAGTAAACGGCACTATTATAGTGCTGTGAGCGCTGATTTGAAGTGAAGACAAAAAAAAAAAAATCCTCAGCAAGAGTACTACTTAGAGTACTTCGCCGACCACACACAGCGCTCTGCTGATCCCTGGGAGGAGGAGCACGCAATATCCGTTAGTAATATCCAGAGTACCTCATGGGAAGAGAGTCTCCCGGTTTTCGTGTAAGTATGTGTGACCACACAAGAAACCGTCGACATTCAGGGCTTGAGCACACCCCAAGCAAGCCAAGCTTCCGCCAGGTGCCACCGAAATGTCTGCGCGTCCTGCAAAGACTGCGACGCATCGCCTTTGAGGAACTCTGTGGGCTGCGTCCATATGTATTGCATCGATACGTACAAGCCGTCCATATGTCCTGCATCGATACGTACAAGCAGTCTTATATGACAAAAGTTACCACACTCCCAGACCGATATTCAAAACTCGACTACTCCAAAGCAGACACATCGGCGGTGCCGAAAATGACGGTGTTGGAACCGTCTCGAGAGCTTTCCGAAATCGTGTCACATACTGTGTGCACCCTCTTCGTCGTGTGGAGCAATCGAGCTTTGAAACTCGGTCCAGGGGGTGTGGTATCTTGTGTCACGTTACCTTCGGTACGAGAGCCGGCGCCCGGTGTGTGCATGCAGACAGCAACGCACCTTCCTACGGTTTACAGAAGAGAAGCAAACTGCTGTGGACGCATACGATCCACTTTCAATGCTTACCTCCACCTGCTCTACCTACGGCAAAGAAGCAGTTGCGAGTTATACTACTGCATGTTGATGATACACCCACTGACTACATGCACGCACGCATGCCCGAACAACCGCACCACGTACCTTTACCTCCAGATTCCGCGCTGCACGCAATTGACCTTCGACTGGACGACCCCCTTCCCCACGAAGAGATGGCAGCTCGGTCCACCGAAGGGCCTGGTTCTCCCGCTGAGAAGGCTCGAAGCCGCGTGGTCGATGATGCAGCGGCTGCTGTAGCAGCCCCTCTCGTTGACGCTGCTGCTGAGTGAACTCTCACGGCTGTCGAGGCCGAAGGCACGAACGCGCGAACGACCGTGGCCGCAGGGCCCAGGCTTCCCGAGGCGACGGAGAGCAACATCTGTGCCTGCAAGCGCATGGTCTTCGCCACAAGAGCAGAGGGATTGATCAAAGCAGAGCCTGGCTGGGACAACCGAGTGCCCACTCAGCACTTGACACTTGACACCGCACGAGGTGGGGGTGGGTGTCGTGAGTGGTGAGGCAAGTTCTCTGTTGGTAATTGCGCCGCTTGTATCGCCCCGAGTGGAGGTCCCGCCGCGTTCTCGCCTCCCCGTCTCCGCTGCTGTAAATTGCCCGCCGCCCGCTCCGCGTGTGATCCTTTGCGAGTCTGTGATAGAGAGCTCTTCTGCTCACCAACCTCGAGAGTGAGACGCTGCCGCCGAGATAAAGTTGTGGGAAGCCGGCTGCGTTGCTGCTCTTGAGTCTGTATCGGCTATTTCGAGGTATCCAACGTCCAGTGTTACTAGTCATCGCCTGTGGGTCGGCGGCATGTCGAGGCGGCTCGCTCTTGTTTCCGTCTTCCTTGCGCCTTACGCAGCTGGTGCTGCCGATGCTGCCGGAGCTTCAGGAGCGACGTCGACAGGCCCGGCTGCACACTACGAGGTATCGGTGACCCAGAAAAGAGAGATGACAGGTTGCTGTGGTTGAAGGGGTGTCGTGTACAGTCTACGAACACCGTATGCAGTCATTAACATCGACCGTGCCCGCCCTCCCTTTGACTATCGTGCAGACTCTGTTCAAGTCCCCCTGGAACGAGGACAACAACAAGCATGGCCTTCAGCATCTCGAGCACGTGAATGTTTGCATACCGAGGTGAGCAAAGGAGAGAGAAGACGAATAGCCACTGTCTCTCGTGGTCTGGGTAGCCTTATAAAGCGCGCATGCAGTACGGTGAGCGATTGCGAAGGGAAGACATCCGGGGGGAGGAGGAGTTTACATATATGGGCGTGCAGAAGACGGGCTGGTGCTGGTGATGGTCTCGAGCGAGGTTGCGTCCAACTGGCGGGGTTACGATTCGGTTAAACAGGGGACAGCAATGGTGACGCCGAGGAGGCAAAAACTCCACGAACAATACGGAGTTCTGTAGCGCTGAACAGCCCAGTTTGCAGATGGTCTCCAACTACAGGTGCATCGGCTGCAGTACCATGTAAGAGCCGAAATCAAACAGCTAGACCAACCAGTCAACGGTGGACTACGTCCAATGGTTTAATTTCGGCTTCTTCAACCCCCCGCGTTCTTGGAAAGGAATGCATGACGTGTAACTCGTGTTTAATCGTTTTTCCTCTGTTCTCAGCCACGATCCCGCGAAACACCTATACTACGACATCCTCGGGTTTGCACCGGACGCTCGGCGCGCGCACAATATCGGCAAAGGAAGCGGGACGATCTGGGCAAACATCGGCTCGACCCAGATACACCTCCCGGAGGGTGCGTGGGTATGCGGATCTCTCTCGTATCACGCGTGCACGCATTCTACGCGTACAGTACCTGTTAGCAGGGACGTATCAACGTTTTTTCTTGAACGCGAGGTATCAAGGAGTTTTGCGTACTTTGGGGGTGATAGAGCAGTGGCGTGGTTTGCAGTGTCCGCACGATATCCTAGTTAAGAGATGCAAAAAAGACTGCTGTACACAGATTTGTTAGTAGTTGTTTTCCGTCCGCCGATGAATAAACTATTTAGACGAAATGCCGCCACTCCTGTTGTACAACTCAAAAACTACTTTTACTTGGTGGATGCGTGTGTGTGCCGCCGACGCGCGGGATGACATCCAACCAACCCCAAACGAAAAAAAACAGGGGAGCCCCAGGTTGTTCCGGGGACAATCGGGCTCGTGTACGGCAGCTCGGACCTCGCGGAGGTGATCGCCCGCCTAACCGAGAATGCGATTACCAATGGCAACGAAAACAACCGCAAGAACGCGCTCGAGGGCACAAAGTTCGCGTGGAGAGAGGAGAAGGAGGAGGGGGGGGAGGAGACCGGCTATGTCGATGTAACGTGCCCGTACGGTGAGCGGCTTGAGTGACCGGGTTAAGGTCAGGAACGCTCCCGGTCGTGCAGGCCCATGTATGTCTACCGAAGGAATTATGGTACCAGGAAAGTTGTAAATGGCTTGAAGAACACATTTTTGCGAACGTTTGGGATGTTTTGTTTGTCCTTCTGTTCGCTGCTTGTCTCCAGCGTGTGTGGGGATTGCATGAAGTCGCCTTCTGCCGGTTGCGCCAGCACAAGAAAATAGCCGTTCAGGAGTCTGTTGTAGCGGTCAGAACGGTTTGTTCTGTGAAGATATCGTACTTCTGCATACGCGTATTCCTTCAGGCTCTTGGGTCTTTGTTCCTCTGCGACGATAATGTCAGAATGTAGCCCCAGACACCTTTGTTGCCGGTTCCTGGCGCCCTGCGTACACAAAACTAGGCAACGTGCCTCTAAACGATTGGGTGTAGGTTAGACACCTGAAATATGTTAAGTGTCTTCTAGTCCAAATGGAGTGTGGAAGGTTGTTCGCATGCCTTCACCTTCAACCAGCTCGATTTCGATTGAAGCCCTTCCAAGCACTTGTGTGCTCTGTCGTCGTCCTCAGCACCAAGATCCCGACACACCAAGCGTTGAGATTGAAACGTGCTGGCTGAGGCTGCCCCTATCCCTGCTCGAAGAGTTGTGTTTGTGTTTGTCATCGACTTCCTTCAATTTTTCGACCCCCCCCCCCCCCCCCCCCCACAAAGAAAACCCCACCCCCCCCCCAAACGGAAACCCCCCCCCCCCACAAAAACCCCCA